TCCGACCCTGTAAATAATTTTGTCTGCTTTGGGGGGAATAATGTGTTCATTTTTTTATTATTGTGGTAGGGGTTTTTGTTTGTAGGTGTTTTTAGGGTGATATATTATAAAAACCTAATTAAATAACAAGGAAATGTTGGTGGGTTTTGAGGGGGGATGGCAGACAAAAGTCCCCTAGGCATGGGGGGGGGGGGTTTAAGTTTGCCGATATTAAATTTTTACCATAAAGGGGATATGAGGGTAGAGTGGGTTGTGTTCTATGGTGGATGTGACCTTTAGGGTTTAGACAAATTTCCCTTTTATTTTAGTGGCAGCCTTTAGCTGGCTGGATTGTGTTTATATATAAAATTTTCTTGAAGTTTTTTAAAGCTTTTACAAATGTGTATGAAAAAGAAAATTTTCATGTGTTTCTAAGGTGAAAGTGGGAAGTTTTTTATGGGGGGGGGGGGTTTTAAGCTTTACTTTGGGGGGGGTTTTATATGTATGTATTATGTTTGTGTATGTGTATATGTATGTATATGTGTATGTATATAATTTTTAGTATGTATATGATATGTATATATATAGTATATATTTTGTATGTAATATGTTTTAATGTGTGTGTGTAAATATGTTTTAATATATAAATGTATATGTAGTATGACCAACCCTTTTTATTTTGAAGCCCCATTTCGTAAAACGGTGTTTTATGGAAGCACAGTACGTACAAGCGGTGTTTGATTTTATGCAGCGCCCTTCTGTCATTATATATGTGGGTTCTTCAGTACTGTGTTTGTCACGTTTTTTAAATTTTTCACTGCCTCTATCTTGTTACATATTGATTATGTAACCCCTATTTTTTTGTCCCCGAGTTTTAAATAAAAATTTTAAAAAAAAAAAAAAATTTTTGGGAAAGAATCCACAGGGGGTGGGTGGATGCCCGCTGGGAAGTTAAAAGGGGTGGGGTTTTCGGTTTTGTAGTATCAGTAGTTAAACCTTAGGATACATGAGCTCAAGCAGGGAAAACACCACCCCCAAAACCCCCAAAAACAGGAAATCCATGATCTCACGTCTATTCGTTCCCAAACCCCCAAATTTGGGATTCTTCAGGTCAAACCCTTCCCTCACCGCACCTCACTCTCCGCCTTTATATACTGTCTTTCAACCCCTGTATGTTTTGAAGTGATCAAGGTTTCCCCGGGGCCCCAAAAATTTTCTAGCAAATATGAAACCCCCTTTTTGCTTTTCGTGTTTTTATAAGCCAGCTATTAATCTACGATGTAACCCAAAAATAGGCGAGTATACGTGAGTATGCACACAGGCAAGGCCCCTCCCGTAAACTCCATTCATTTCCAGGGAAACAGAATGTTTAAGTTCCCCACGGAGGGGTCGAGGGCCCCCAGGAAATTTCTTACTTTAAATTTATTTAAATTTTTAAAAATGCTTCCAGAGTTAAAAAAAACACAAGGGTTGTTTTGTTAAAGGTTACTGTATTGACAAGTTGATAAAATATAAGTAAAATTTAAAAAAACCACAAATTGAAGAATGAAAATTTCTTTTTGCCCAAAATTTGGGAAATTTTAGTGGAAAAAGGGTTTTGGCCCGCCAGGGCTTCTTCGGTCCCAATTTAAAGACAGGTGGAAGATAAAAGTTTGAGGTTACCAGTCCCTCAACCTTTGGGGTTTTTTGTGCCAGTCCGTCAATTTTTTATAAAAGTGCAGCATATTCAAAAGATGGGGCTTATAAAACTGGGTGAAAAAAGAGGGTTTAGCAGGGTGGGGGAGTCCCCCAGCAGGGGGGGAAAAAAGCCACTATGGGGAAATAGGTCGTTTTCTGGAAGAGGAAAACCCCATGTTAGCGAAACGTTTCCCCAAATAGATACCCAATTTTTTGAACCCAAAATTTTCATTCATCAAAATTGTCAGTTTTTTTGACCATTTAAAATACGATGACAAAGGTGATCCCCGGATAGCCTTTCCTACGAGGATAGACTGACGGCAATAATCTGCAATCTCTAGATAGGGGTTTTAAAATTAGGGGGGAATATGATCGAGGTGTATAAATGGCCCGACAGGGGGGGGGGGGGAAAAAACGTGCTAAAAATTTTTCTAAGGATATAGGGAAAACAACGGTTTGATAACAAAAAAATGGATTTAGTGGAACAAACTCCCCGGAGTAGCCTATTTTTCCTTTTTATTTCAAAGTTTACCGAATTTTTTTTAAAAAACATACGAAATATTTAATAATAATTTAAAATTTTTATTTTAATTCTCATAGTTTTTTTAAAAATATGTGAAGTTTAGAAAAATATTGACGAATGGGCAAAAATATTTTTTTTAAAGCGAAATCCTTGTGTAGCTTTAAAAATTGGTTTGACAAGTACACGAGTGGGTGTGACGAACCTGCTCGTCTTGGGCCAGTAGTAGTATCACAATCAAAACTAAGCGCTAAACCCACAAGGGTCGGCAGGAACGTCCTCGGGCTCTTGAGTAAGATACATAAGGTGTACTGTACTGTCTTACCGGGTCTGTTCTACAGTCTATTGTGGGAGAAGGCGGTTGCGTAGGGACGTCGTGGCAGGACAGTCCAGCAGGCAGCGCACCAGTGGGTGCTCCACCACCTGTTAAGAACATAAGAACATAAGAACGAAGGAACACTGCAGAAGGCCTACTGGCCCATGCGAGGCAGGTCCAATTCCCTACCGGCTTAAGCCAATGCACCCAACCTAGTCAGGTCAGGTCACATTGACTTAAGGGAGGAACACGGCAACCGACCTGTTAGCACAAGCTATCAGGTCTAACTCACACCCACCCACATCTACTCATGTATTTATCCAACCTATTTTTAAAGCTACACAACGTTCTGGCCTCTATAACGGTACTTGGGAGTTTGTTCCACTCACCCACAACTCTATTACCAAAACCAGTACTTTCCTATATCCCTCCTGAATCTGAATTTTTACAACTTAAAACCATTGCTGCGAGTCCTGTCTAGGCTAGATATTTTCAGACACTATTTACATCCCCTTTATTTATTCCTGTTTTCCCACTTATAAACCCAATCATATCCCCCCCAATTCTACGTCTTTCTAGAGAGTGCAGTTTCAGGCCCTTGTCCCATCCTCATAGGGAAGGTTTCTGATACATGGGATCATCTTTGTCATCCTCCTTTGTACATTTTCCAGAGAATTTATATCCATTCTGTAATACGGTGACCAAAACTGTGCAGCATAATCTAAATGAGGCCTAACCAAGGATGTATAGAGTTGAAGAACAAAACCCGAGGACTCCTATTATTTATGCTTCTTGATATGAAGCAAGGATTCTATTAGCTTTTTGCGAAACACTTATGCACTGTTGCTTGGTTTCAGATTACGCTAACCAGAACTCCTAAATTTTTTCGCAATCCGTAATTTTAAGATCTACATTATTTGTTTAATGTGGCATGGTTATTGTCCTGTCCAACATTTAGAACTTGCATTTGTCTATATTAAACTGCATCTGGGCCCCTTCTCCGACCACTGCATCAGTCTATTCAAATCTTCCTGGAGTGCTCGAATGTCCTCGTCAGAATGAATTCGACGGCCTATTTTGGTGTCATCGGCAAACTTTTTCCGATGTCGCTCTTTATGCCCTCATCTATGTCGTTTATGTAGATTGTGAACAGCAGGGGGCCCAACACTGACCCCTGTGGAACACCGCTCGTGACGCTTCCCCACTCTGATTTCTCCCCATTTATGCAAACTCTCTGCCTGCCTATTTGCAACCATGCCTCTATCCAGGAAAAAATTTCTTTTTCCTATTCCATGTGCTTTAATTTTCCTCAATAGTCTCTGATGTGGGACCCTGTCAAAAGCCTTACTGAAGTCCATATACACAATATTTATATTCATTACCCTGATCTACCTCCTCAAATAAACCCTTAGTGAAAAAAGTTAATAAATTCGTAAGGCAGGAACCCCCCCTTTGTAAAACCATGCTGAGATTCGTTGATTAATTTATGCTTTTCAAGGTGGCTACGAACTGCCTCGGCAATTATTGATTCCATAAATTTTTCCCACTATGGAGGTTAGGCTTATTGGTCTATAGTTCGAAGCTAAGGACCTGTCACCTGTTTTGAAAATAGGTATCACATTTGCCATTTTCCACTTATCTGGCACCATGCCAGTTTGTAGTGATATGTTGAAAAGATTAGCCAAAGGTGTGCTAAGCTCCTCTTTACATTCCTTTAGAACCCTTGCATACAGTTCATCAGGGCCTGGGGATTTGTTAGGTTTTAATTTATCTATTTGCCTAAGGACCATGTCACTTGTGACCCTAATAGTGCACAGTTTATTATCGTCCTGTTCTACATAATTTATCATTACTGGAATATCATTACTGGAATATGGACACACTCATTATGATCATGTGCTCCCGGATCCTAATATCCAGATTGTAGTTTCCCAACACATTTTGTCATGTGATGAATGGTTTGAAAAACCGACAAGTTGAAGATTGAGACACTTATGCAGCATATGGGAATCTTTATTCAGGAAACGTTTCGCCACACAGTGGCTTCATCAGTCCAATACAAAGAGGAAGGCGTAAGGAGAGGAGGAGAATGAGGTAATCAGTCCCTCAACCTGGAGTCGATGGACTGAACACATCGACTCCAGGTTGAGGGACTGATTACCTCATTCTCCTCCTCTCCTTACGCCTTCCTCTTTGTATTGGACTGATGAAGCCACTGTGTGGCGAAACGTTTCCTGAATAAAGATTCCCATATGCTGCATAAGTGTCTCAATCTTCAACATTTTGTCATCTCCCACATGGTACTGTGTATACTCCTACGCCAGTGCTTACCTGGAGAGGGTTTCAGGGGTCAGCGCCCCCGTGGTCCAGTCTGACACCAGGCCTTGTGGTGGATCAAGGTCTGATCAACCAGGCTGTTACTGCTGGCCGCACGCAAACGGACGAACGAACCACAGCCTAGTTGGTCAGGTACTGACTTTAGGTGCCTGTCCAGCGCCTTCTTGAAGATAGCGAGGGGTCTATTGGTAATCACACTTATGTATGCTGAGAGAGGCAGTTGAACAGTCTTGGGCCCCTGACACTGCGTTGTCTTTCAGTGTACTTGTGGCGCCCTTGAGTAGTTCCTGGGTCTTTGCACTAAGTTTTTAACCGAAGATAAATAGCTGGTGGATATTTTAACAACTTTTAGAAACGTTGCAACGTCGTTGACCGGTAAAACGATGTAACAGAAGCGTTCCTTTATCTGGACTGGTGCTATTGTTAAGAATCTGTGTCGCACGCTTCCTGCGGTCTCAAAGGAGTTGAGTGGGTGTGGGTGGGTGTGAGTTGGACCTGATCAGCTTGTGCTAACAGGTCGGTTGCCGTGTTCCTCCCTTAAGTCAATGTGACCTGACCTGACTAGGTTGGGTGCATTGGCTTAAGCCGGAAGGAGACTTGGACCTACCTCGCATGGGCCGGTAGGCCTTCTGCAGTGTTCCTTCCTTCTTATGTTCTTCTTATGTTCTAATGAGCTGAATGTGATTTATGTGTATTCTTATATCTTGTCAGTATCGCCATACCATTTTTCAGGTCCTCGTATAATAGAGGATGATGGCTTCAGATTTCTGTTAATCAGACCAGAATTATGAAAACCATAAAGCGCTAAGCCCGAAAGAAAATCAGACCATAAGAAAACAGGACTAGTGTTCACATACATATATACGTGCACCTTGGTGTGTCGAAATAAGCATTTTACATTAAGATAATTTTCCCTGTCCTAGGCACAGTCATTAGTCTATTAAAACAAGATGTTTGTATGAATTTCACTGTCATTATTAAAAATGTCATCCATGTCATTACGTACCTGATCAGACCGAGCAGGTGATCACTGGTTGCACTAACAGGTTCTGTAACTGCTATACTTGGGCATTCTCAACCTCACTGTTTCTTCTAGGCGCCTAACGGTAAAGCATCACTCTATCCTCATATGAGCACGTTCGACGTGAGAGCGAAGTCTCTTCACTCGACTGAAAGAGCAGTCGCAAATATGGCATCGATGCTTATAATTTGCACCATGGGCCATCATGTGTCGTGCGAGGTGCCCTTGTGATGCAACTACTAAGTTGCATATTTGGCAGGTACGTTCAGTTTCTTCCGAGAAAAAATTATATTTATTGCCCTGATTTCCAGCGTTGCTCTCGTTTTGTGTGGCCTGAGGCATCTGCTGATCACACATGAAGGTGACGTAGGTACCAGAAGTTGACATAGCTGATATGGAAGGGAAACTGACTGTGTAGGGTAACACACAGTTGTCAGTATTCTGAAGAGTTCCATAAACAGGAGTGGACGAAGAGGTATTAAGATTAGGTGCATGAGAAACCAAGTTACTAGTCGATGGGCTCCAAGTCTCAAAGGATAGTGCAGAACTGTTGCATTCTTCACGTGTTTGACTTGATTGCGGAGTGGCGTTTTTGCTAACGGAAGAGAGAAATTTTGTTGAATTTTGACAAGTGTTTTGATAAGGCGGGTCTTGGTTAAAGGCAACAGATGGAATTCTCTCTATTTCAGAACCAGGCAAGGAAGAACCATCTCGTAAGCTATGCTGAGGATCTTTTAAATCCGGAATACATTCGATGGAATTATCCAAACAAGAAGGATTTTGTATTTTGAGAGGCTCTATTTCGGTTGAATGTGGATGAGTTTTATCGGTGGGATTTGAAGTCGTGCTAGAAGAGCCAGACACAACGCTTCCTGACTGAGGATTCTTTGTGGGCAGCACACACAACCCTCTATCGAGGTCTGTCGGAACGTCAGCTTGTCTTCTGGTGATAGTAATTTGAGTGCCAGCGGCTGAACACGAGTAGTGACATGAATAATTAAGACGCTCGTCGTCTTCGCAGTTTTCGTTCATTGATCCGCTGGCCGTTGTATTATCTGCAAGAAGGATGTAACGATTAACAATCTGTATTCTAATGGCAAACATATACAAAAGTAAAGACTTGACAAGTACTGGGTTGGCGAGTAAAAGTTATGGGGAAATGATGTACCAGAAGTGAAGGTACGCATTTATAACAATTAAGACAGTGTAGATAAAAAATAAATCAGAGGAAATGAACATAAATGCTTTGCTGTGTTACTTAGCGTGATCCATTGAAGCATAAGATTGAAAGAATAGAGAAGCAGTGGCGGATGGATATTAAAATTTACTGTGTTTATGAAGATAGTGAAGCTCTTCATAGGAGAGTACTTTAAAATAAACATAGGCCTCTAATAGGGGTACAATATCAGTGTATTAATTATAATTCCATCTAAAAATTCATTAACGTAAATGAATGTTAGGAGTTTGGAGAGAGACGCAGGACGCTCTTTGCTGACACTGTGATGTTTCTGGGAAAGAAGATGCACAGTTTTTATTTGCACAGATCAATTTTAAGTGCTAAGAGTTATGACAAATCAGCTTATTTCAGAGCTCAGTCCTATTTAAGGTAAACTGCCATACCGTGACATTCACAACAGTCCACTAACACACAGGTACTTGGAGAAGTACGGAATGTTGTGTAAAGCGAACATAGCAAAATAAATTGTGATAAGAGTATGTCTTACCAATAAAAGACTGAGTCAGATTGGAGGGAGTAGTGAGTAAGTGAATGAATTTAGATATCAGGCGGTAGATATGCTAGCAGACTGGTATATGAAAGAAAAATCATAGAATATATGAAGAATAAAAATTTGATTTTTAAGGAATCTGAGGAATAATCAATGGATATAAAGTGAACTGTACGATAAAGGTGTCAATATTTTTGTATGGCTGCGGAGCATGATCTTGGAATGTTGCCGTGAGGAGGACGGAGGAAGTTAACTAAGATGTCTTTGAGAGCAAAGCGAGTGTGTGTGTGTGTGTGTGTGTGTGTGTGTGTGTGTGTGTGTGTGTGTGTGTGTGTGTGTGTGTGTGTGTGTGTGTTGTGTGTGTGTGTGAGAGAGAGGAGAGAGAGAGAGAGAGAGAGAGAGAGAGAAGGGGGGGTAGGAGGAATTTATTAAAGATACCTGGAAGAGGATATTGGTGAAAAGCACCAGAGGATGATGATTAAATAAACAATATTTAATTGTGATTTCATTGTCCCTTACCATTAGTTTTGTGAGATTCTTTTCTAATGAAAGTTAAATTTTTATGTTTTGATTTTGAAGGTGTGCAAGAGTACTTTTTTGCGTTGCCACGCACTTCACACGTCGAGGGATGGCTGCTAGCTCCTAATGGAACATGAAACACAACAGGGCGACCTCTAGTTGTCGATGAAGTGCCTGAGGTGTGGCCGGAGCCAGACGGTCCTGATGTGTTGCCACTGCTGGACGAGTAACCAAGAGAATACTGGAGACTGTTGGAACTATTATCTACAGATCCGTTGAAGTTGTTAAAATGCGTTGATCCACCAAGTGTAGAAGTGTCGTAGTATATAACATGAAAAGAAGGAATACAAAAGTAAAAAAAAAAAAAAAAAACTACACTGACTACATTTTGGAATAGAAAATTTTAGGTGAAAAGTTACATAAAAAACGTGAAATATAATCATAGAATAAATTCAGTTTTAAATAAAATCTCTGGCAGAATTTTACATTTTAAACGAAGAAAACTTGCTTTCACAAATACAAATAACGCATCTTGGAATTTTTTATCAAAGCCTGACAGAGGTAAAAGGATTAGCTGGTGTCTTACTTCCAGACATGAGAGACTAGCAGGTCTGTTCGACCACCGCACCAGCCTTGGGAAAAGTAAAACCGTATATCAGCAGTTGTCTACTCACGTTCTCAAACCAACCACGGAGACCATCAGGGGGTAGATACTAATTCATAGCTGAGGAAGAGGTAGCATAAGTTCAATAATCCTAAGATGGCATTGGAGCAGCAACAGAACCAGAAGGATGCGTACCCTCTGATGCCGGAGAGACCCAGACAGAACACCTGCAACAGGACCAGAAGGATGCGTACCCTCTGATGCCGGAGAGACCCAGACAGAACACATGCAACAGGACTAGAAGGATGCGTGCCCTCTGATGGCGGAGAGACCTAGACAGAACACCTGCAACAGGACCAGAAGGGTGCGTACCCTCTGATGCCGGAGAGACCCAGACAGAACACCTGCAACAGGACCAAAAGATGCGTACCCTCTGAAGCCGGAGAGACCCAGACAGAACACCTGCAACAGGACCAAAGGATGCGTACCCTCTGAAGCCGGAGAGACCCAGACAGAACACCTGCAATAGGACCAGAAGGATGCGTGCCCTCTGATGCCGGAGAGACCCAGACAGAACACCTGCAACAGGACCAGAAGGATGCGTACCCTCTGATGGCGGAGAGACCTAGACAGAACACCTGCAACAGGACCAGAAGGGTGCGTACCCTCTGATGCTAGAGACACCCAGACAGAACACCTGCAACAGGACCAAAAGATGCGTACCCTCTGAAGCCGGAGAGACCCAGACAGAACACCTACAAGCCAAGTACCATTCCACTCAGTTTCACTAATTTAGGAAACCTGTGAACCACAAGATGAATAACGAATTAAAGCTCCCCTGAACGACATATCTGAGCAGGTAAATGCTCCAGCTGACGAAGAAGCAATCCAGCACTATACTGCAAAGGAATGATGCACAACCAGTTGATTAAGACAGGACTAATGATGCACTCCTGTTTTTGTTTCCTTCCATCAGCTACAGAAATGCATTGTGCACCAAAAGGTCGCAGTTTCAGACAGTCTCAAATTTCAGGCAAGTAGAAACTAGAAGTACTTAAGTTTGTATTAAAGGCAAATGCATGGAAACGGTGTTTGCTTAGTCTACAAAGGCCTCAGCTATCGTGGTTTCGGAAGTTCAGCCCATATAGGTCCCATGGCAACAAAAACTTTTTCATAATACATATATCCTCCTGAAAATATAGCATAAATTATTTTTAATGAGAGCTTAGTCTCTAAAAGAGCATTGAATATAGTTGCTACTAAGCTATGCTGTCTTTTACTTCTTTGATTTGGTTTGTGATTCAGTCTGCATTCGTATTTCCCTTTAGTCCTATCATCATTCACTGAAAATTCTGGTTATAAGTACGTGTGGATAAGAAGATTAGTGATATTAGTGAGGTGCGCCTTGGAAACCTTAATGGATCTATGTAAATGGGTGATCAATTAATGTTATATTTATGAGGGAGGGGGGAGGCTGATAAGCCGATGCTGCACCTAGGGAATGTGGGGGGGGGGATTCAGGTTCGATTTAATCATCTTCAGGTTTAATTTGGGGCTAAAATCGCGATATTGTAAAAAAAAAAAAACACATTCCTCCATTTCCAGTAAATTTTACTATTTGCTTTGAAAAGGACTAGGTAACCTGTTATATTCACATTCTAAACATTTCATGATTATTTACAAACATTCATAGCAGAGGAGCATCTGCAGGTTACCAGCCTCAGATTGTTGGTGACCTTTTATGATAATATAGCAGAAAAAAGTAATTATACAGCATCTAAGTCGGAGTGTATTACCATGTAATAAATTTCATTTAATTCAGTTCTGCAGCTACTGGACCTGCCTTCCCTTTAGGGAAGGCAGGTCAAATTCACCAAGGTAGGTAGGCAAGTAGGTAGGTAGCTAGGTAGGTAGGGTAAGGAGCCTCGCTAAAGGGGTCTAAGTGATCAAAATTACTAGTACAGAAACACAAGTCATTTTAATATACAGAGATATGGGGGAAATTAATATTGGTATCCTCTTAGATATAATAAGCAGTCTCAAAATAGATACTTGCCATTTAATTGGAGGTAATGTATTCTGATGTAATTTAGAATCTTGGTTTTGGTATCTGACAACGTTTTTGAGGCCATTTTTTTGGAAGTGATCTTCTTTGAGGCTCCACTCGGCCGCGCCTCGGCCGGCGCCACGCTGGTCCCATGGCCCGGCGACACGCTGGTCCCATGGCCCGGCGACACGCTGGTCCCATGGCCAGGCGGCAATCCACTTGCACCATGGCCCGGCGCCCCGCTGGTCCCAAGGTCCGGCACTCTGCTGGTCCCAAGGCTCGGCGCCTCGCTGGTCCCATGGTCCAGCGCTCCGCTGGTCCCACGGCCCGGCGCTCCGCTGGTCCCACGGCCCGGCGCTCCGCTGGTCCCACGGCCCGGCGCTCCGCTGGTCCCACGGCCCGGCGCCCCGCTGGTCCCACGGCCCGGCGCCCCGCTGGTCCCATGGCCCGGCGCTCCGCTGGTCCCACGGTCCGGCACCCCGCTGGTCCCACGGTCCGGCACCCCGCTGGTCCCACGGTCCGGCACTCCGCTGGCCCCATGGCTCGGCAATCCACTTGCACCATGGCCCGGAGCCCCGCTGGTCCCATGGCCAGGTGCCCCACTGGTTCTATAGCCTGGCGCCCCACTGGTCCCATGGCCCGGCGCCCCGCTGGTCCCGTGGCCCGGCGCCCAGCTGGTCCCATGGCCCGGCGCCCCGCTGGTCCCACGGCTCGGCGCCTCGCAGGCAGTATGGCCTGGCGCCCCGCTGGTCCCATGGCCCGGCGCCCCGCTGGTTCTATGGCCTGGCGCCCCGCTGGCCCTATAGCCCGGCGCCCCGCTGGTCCCATGGCCCGGCGCCCCACTGGTCCCATGGCCCTGTGCCCCGCTGGTCCCATGGCCCGGCGCCCTGCTGGTCCCATGGCCCGGCGCCCCGCTGGTCCCATGGCCCGGCGCCCCGCTGGTCCCATGGCTCGGCGCCCCGCTGGTCCCATGGCCCGGCGCCCCGCTGGTCCCATGGCCCGGCGCCCTGCTGGTCCCATGGCCCGGTGCCCCGCTGGTTCCATGGCCTGGCGCCCCGCTGGTCCCATGGCTCGGCACTCCACTTGCACCATGGTCCGGCAATCCACTTGCACCATGGCCCGGCGCCCCGCTGGTCCCATGGCCCGGCGCCCCACTGGTTCTATGGCCCTGCACCCCACTGGTTCTATGGCCTGGCGCCCCGCTGGTCCAATGGCCCGGTGCCCCGCTGGTCCCATGGCCCGGCGCCCCGCTGGTCCCATGGCCCAGTGCTCCGCTGGTCCCATGGCCCAGTGCTCCGCTGGTCCTATTGCCAGGCGCTCCGCTGGTCCCATGGCCAGGCGCTCCGCTGGTCCCACGGCTCGGTGCCCCGCTAGTCCCACGGCTCGGCGCCTCGCTGGCCGTATGGCCTGGCGCCCCGCTGGTCTCATGGCCCGGCGCCCTGCTAGTCCCATGGCCCGGCGCCCAGCTGGTTCTATGGCCCAGCACCCCGCTGGTCCCATGGCCTGGTGCCCCGCTGGTCCCATGGCCCGGCGCCCCGCTGGTCCCATGGCCTGGTGCCCTGCTGGTCCCATGGCCTGGAGCCCCGCTGGTCCTATGGCCCGGCGACACGCTGGTCCCACGGCTCGGCGCCCCGCTGGTCCCATGACTCTGCGCTCCGCTGGTCCCATGGCCCGGCACCCTGCTGGTCCCATGGCCCGGCAATCCACTTGCACTATGGCCCGGCAATTCACTTGCACCATGACCCGGCAATCCACTTCCGCCGTGACCTGGCATTCTACTTCTACCATGGCCCAGCACTCCACTTGTCCCATGGCCCGGCAATCCACTTGCTCCATGTCCCGGCAATCCACTTTTCCCATGGCCCAGCAGTTCACTTACTCCATGGTCCGGCAATCCACTCTTCTTTGTGATGCCCAATGTTCCACTCACTTGTGTGTTCCTTGGCGCCCCATTTGTCTTTGCACTCCCAGAAAGCAAACTTGATTTTGCGCTGCCCAACACTCTACTAGTACTCAAATGACCAGGCAGAACACTTATCTTCGCCTCTTCTGGCACTGTGTGTGTCTTTAACTTGGTTGGCACTGCACTTGACTCAGTCTTGCCCTCCACTCCAGTTGACGGAGACTCCATGTTTGCTGGCACCTGAGATGTGAATGACGAATTTCCAGGCAATGCTGAAGTGCCTGTCGTCTGATTGGAGTGACTGAACTGTTGGCATTTAAGAAGAGCAGATGATTGGTGACTAGAACTTGTAGGCGTGTTTACAGTCTCTGTAGTAGCAATGGTGGTGGTGGAAGAAAGATTAACCAACTGGAGAAGATTATTGTCGACACACTGATGAAGAGAGTTGTTCGTGGCGCCAGTAGGCCGAGTTGTTCTGAAAACTGTGGGAAAAAAAGTGTGATTAATGTGGCTTCTTAATGTGTGCAAGCAGATTCAAAGAGGAGGCCATCACTAATTATTTTTTCTGCAAGATTATGTTGAAGGAAGGTTGTTGCAGAGTTACAGTGACAGATCCTAAGTGAGGATCCCCACCACTTCCGGTCTGGTTTAATTGCTTAATTATTCACTAACAGTTACTAATTACCCCCACACTGTAATGGGGTAAAGAAGCCCAAAATCTAAAATTATCTGTTAACTAATTTAGCATACTGACAAACTTGCCTGAACACAAACTCAACTTGATGGGTACTATCCTAGTCGTAAAACGCATCAGTTATTAAAAATTTAAGTCATTTAGAAGAGGTAGACTCAAGAATATTTAAATATAACGGGTAAAAATTTCACACTATATGCACGTAATACTGACCGTCGTTAAATTAGGAAGCACCGTTTTTGAACGTTTGAAGCCACACCACTGAGGGCGTGGGAGTTTTGGCACCGGCACATGCCAATTCTTCCTGCAATCTTGTTACTGCTACCGAATACCAGTGTTGGAAACTTAAAGCCTATTTGATGAGGGTTTTCTAGTCTTATAGCGAAATAAAAACGAGAAGTTAGAAGAAAAATATCAGACAAGTACTTAACAGGCCTCCTTCAGGGATAACGCTAACTAAATGGGTGGATAAACTTTATCAGATAATAATAACTTCCAACTACAAGATGATGTTTACTGTCAGTAGTCGTGACTTCAGTGGAAGCAGCATTAGTAGGAGAGTCATCAACGTAGGCAGAATCTGCAGTGGCGTCAGCAACAGCTTTACCAGAGGCGGCGTCTATAGCGGAGTCTGTTGCATCAGATGCATCTGTGATGGTATAAAGCCACATCCATAATCTACTTCACGTCCTAGATAAACAGCAAATTTTAACGAAAGAAAATTTCCTTGTTAACCTAGGCTGAAAATTGGGGGATGCTGTATTCTTAGTCTTGCGCCACACTAAAGTCACTCAGCGTCGGGGTAAATGTGAAGATGAAGAGAGTTACATTTTTAATGTCGCTCTGTATGAGAACTTTACTTGAAATTGACATGTGTAGCTAAAAGAGTTTTCCATATACCTTAAATGAAACGGAAAAAGTTTGACGTAGAATATATATTGTGGGACATGAAGGACAATTTCATGAAACTTGTTTAGGGCTTTGCAAACTTGTAAGATAAACTAAAACAATCAAAATAATTACCTTGAATTTCGAGATGATTGTTTGAACCTGAACAGAGCAGCTTTCTATCATTGGGATGTGAAGGTGTGTGCGAAGTCTTGATGCTGTCAACCAATTTACAAGTCGAAGGAGTGCTGCCTTTAGATAACAGATAACCTCCGGCTATTGCTTTAGTGCTTGTTGTGTTAGAGCAACTGAGCTGGTAAATTTTTAGGAGAGCAGCTGACGGCTCTGGGTTGGCAATGTTTCTAGCGGCACTGTAGGATGACTGGTTAACTGAGAAGTGATGATTGTCGACACATTTTCCTTGAGATATGTTGACGTCGACGTCGTCGTCATCAGAGAATATCGATCGGCCAACATTTATTCTTGTATTATCTGTTAATCAGGTAGACATTTAAGTAGAAGGGCTAACATGAGAGAAAACATTTCAAATTGTAAACTAAAAGTGCAACACAATGTGTTGATTAAGGCAAGGCAATTTAAATGAAAGACAGAATACCTTAATTGAACGTCAATTATAGAAACCTAATGAATAACGAAAATAAGTTACGTAATTGGAAGGTAAAGTTTCGCTACATTTCCTGAAATAGTTTGATAGCATTAAACAAACTGGTTTCCAAAAATCAAGAGCACTACACAGTTTTACCTAATTTAAGACGTTTTGATTTAGTTGTAGTTGGATGCGATTCACCAGAAACACTACTTTCTGGTAGACATCTCTTGTATAATGGCCTATCAGCACCCGGAAGGTTTCTTCTTGTTACTGAAGTACGTATCACGTGTCCATAGCGACTGGGCTTTGCCAGAGTGGCTGACTGGTACCAAAACGGTCCCGGCGTGACTAACAAATGGGAAGAGGCTTTCAGTGTTGAGTTATCAGATGATTTCTGAGGACTGTTTGTCCTTTTCTCTGGGAATCCTTTAGAGACTTTATCTTCATGGTAAGATGATCCGTCGACTGAAGCTGAGACAAAACAGTTAGCTTTATCATTAGTATAAACTACAACAGAAGCATTTATGTGAACATATAGCAGATTAGCACTGATTATTACCTTCATGTAACCATTTATTTTGTTGCACGGAACAATGGGATGTAATAAATTTAGCCTGAATCCGGGAATCTGATATCTAGCTCTATTAGTCTGTCTATAGCAACGGTCGATACCAAATCGATTTACACAGTGAAGTAGAGCAACAAGGAACTTGATTTTGAACGTGTCACTACAAACGAAATAAATTATAATTTACTGTTAATCTGTTAGTAAGCTTAATTGTATTTCAGTATTTGTTTGATAGATGCCTGTAATTTGAATAAAATTGGATTAAAGGTGCGAGATACTGAGGAGGAAAGACTATTTAGAATGGTTGAAAATCTAGCAAATTTATGAGAAGTTTGCCAAATACACCATTAATTACCTTCTGTTTTGAGACAACTTGCTGAACTTGAACAATGTCGTTGTTCGTCCCTGGGATCTGAAGTTGTGGTCGAGGCCTCTCTCATTTTGACAGACACTTCACTTTTTGAGGGGAATTTGCTCTCAGACACTGGGGTACAAAATCCCATTTTGTAACCTCCAGTCATCGCTAGTGCGAGACTTGAATAACCGAGCTGCTGATCTTTTGAGAGAGCATCTGACTGAGGACTAGGTTTCCATGTTTCGGCAGTATTGACAGTGGCACTTTGGAAATACTGGCTAACTGTGCTCAGAAGACCGTCGATACTATTATCGGGAGACTTGTTGACGTTGTCAGTAAATGCTGATGGTTTTCTTTTTCCACAGTCTATAAATCAATATATTTGCTACCTAAATGTTTTCTAATGGAAACATAAAAATACAACAGATATTAAAACTAATATATTTTAAGCAATGTATTTAGTATGCAAGAATCTAAAATTCTAAATCGAATATTTATAAACAAATTCCATAAATCTAGTAATTAAGAGGCATATCGGTCGCTGCACGATCCGATAAAGATATCCCAGTAGCCCATTAGCCTAGCCTTAATAAGTGCAAAATGAGTCTTGGAAGGTCGTCATAACATTACAATGCAGCACAAATCCGTATACGTGTGTGTATATTTGTTCACATAAATTTCTCTATCACACACACAGAGATGGACGGAAGGCTTGATTATTATTATTATAATCAAGGGGAAGCGCTAAACCCGGAGGATTATACAGCGCCTGGGGGGAGGATGTGGAAGGCATTCAGGCTTAATTCGGGGAACTGGAGCACAGATCCAATTCCCTAAATCAAGAGCCCCTCACCAACAACGGAAGGCTTGAACCATGGTCAAGATATTGAGAGGTTCAACGCTCTACCGCCTGAGTTACCAAGCCTCTAATATAAAAAAAATCGGAAAAAAACTTATATACTTCATACAATCAGTAATAATATGTAACTAAAATATAGCTTATTTTTGTATAGTGTATTTTAAAAGTTTTTTTTTATCTATAATTTAAAAAGTGCCCTTTTTATATTTACGGAATGAAAATAGATTTAACCTTAGTTTAAAATAGGTTGATTTTGGTTAGACGCTTCGATGAGGGTCGACTGTCGTGAAACATGTTGAAGATTTAAAACATTTAAGATATTTGTCAAATATGTAAAAATACCTAATTACCTTGCGTTTTGGGCTTTTTTTCTGAACCTGAGCAACATAGTTTTTCACTATTATGACCTGAAGTTGTCTTATGTTGTCTTGTGTCTTGTCTTGTGTTGCCAGAAACTCCATTTGGTAGAGAGAGAGAGACTGTTATTGGCGTATAAAGCCCAGTTTCGTAACTTCCAGAAGTGCTCGTTTTGTAGCTGGTACTGTTGGGCTGCTGATCTTTCGAGAGGTCTGCTGACTGGTTGGTGGAAGGTGTGCGTGTGTCGGCAGTGTTAGCAGTGACGCTGGAAGAATACTGGGTAAGAGAGTTCTGAAGAGCGTTGACATTTTTTTCTGAAGAGCTGTTGACTTCTTCAGCGAAAAGCGATCCGTCAGCTTTTCTTTCTGATCTGTCTATTAATCGGTAGAAAGCATTTACGTAGAAAGCGGAGATGTAACAGTTAATAACTTTATTTTAAAATCTGAACACAGTATATTACAAAGCATTAATATATATGAAGAAAAAGTGCATATTTATTAAAGATGTTAATTTAATAAAGCCATTAATTACATAAGTGTAAGGTTAAGTTCAGTTACAACTGTAATTTTTATTTTAAAGAATTACACATAACTTTCCGAATTTGCAAAGAATAATAGGCCTTTACCTTTTGTATCGAAAGGCTTCGTGTTAGTTGTGGATTGAAGCGTTTCACTGGAAAAGTTACCTGAAGCTGGGTGCGAGGAATTGATGTTGCCACAGTCTACACGTGGTGGAGCAATACTCCCTCTCAGTGGCATATCAAAACCAGTTTTGTAACCTCCAGTCGTTACTGAGGTGCCTGTCTTGTGGCTGGAGTTACTAAGCCGATGATCTTTTGAGAGAGCGGCAGACTGGTTAGTGGAAGATCTCTGTGTGTCGACACTGTTAACAGTGACACTGGAGGAATACTGGGTTAGAGAGTACTCAAGTGTGTTAAAATTTTTCTCGGAGGAGCTGTTGAGTTCATCAACCAAAACTGCTCCGTCAGCTTCTCTTTCTGATCTCTCTGTCAACAGAAAACATTTAGGTAAGAAGTGCAGAAGTAACATTTAAAAAATAAATGTTGTTAAAAGTATGACAATACATTTAAGGAAAAGAGTTAAAATGTAAGAAGAAAGTGAATGTTTATTAAGAACGTCAACTGATTAAATAATAAATTAAAATTAAGAACTAAACCCGTAAGGGTATTCAACGCTACAGGGAGGATGGGTGAAAGGAGGGATGTGGGAAAGAAGGAATGCAAATGTAGGAAAGAACGAGGGGCAGGAGTTTGAGGGTTAGTGGTATTGGGGAGGGAGGTTAGTGCAAAATTTATATCAAAGTTGGTGTAATAGATCATTTTCAATTAAAAAAATCAGTTTAGATCAAATATGGAACCTTCAGCGAGGAGGTCAGTGTGTTGGAGAGATGTAGATGACAAAATTGAGTTCTACACGCTTACTAATGGGAGACAGTGGTCTGACATTGCGACCTGACAGTCCTGGCAGAGTGGTACCGGTTGTTTCTTCAGGAGGTATCCGTGAGTGAGTAGCGAGAAACCAATGTGTTAAGCTCAATAGTGAAGTCTCTCCAACACACAACAGTGGAAAGATGTTGCCCAGAATAATAAATGTGGCTTGATAGAAAACAATGTGTTGTGATCCAGCTCAGACAAACGTTCTTGCCAGTGGCTGCAGAGTTGAGAGAGCGAGCTCTGAAAAAATAGCCCAAGAAAGGAATACCCTTGCGGGAAAATCGAAGGTCGTAAATAGCTGATCAAGTGGCTGCATCGGCTTGTTCGTTGCCTTGAACATGGAAATGTCTGGGGACCAAGCATAAAAAACTCCTTTGTATTAACTAGAAATGTGACACAACCAAAGTTATACGTGAAGGACAATGACAAGTCGAACTTCTGGACAGCGTGCAACTCACTTTAGAAATCCGAAACAACTATGAATGACAAGGAGGACATGGTCAATGTGGATTATTGCTGAGAGAATTGCATATGACTGATGTGAAAGTACTGGACGATTTCTATTATGGGACCTTGGATTATTATTTAAAAAAAAAAAAAAACTGCATACCTAATGCCATCGAGATAGAGAATCATTAGTATACACAGTCACAGAATGGGAATGAAATTGGAAGTGTTCAATATTGTGAGGGAAAAGTCTCGTTACAACAGTGATTTCTTTAAAAGCGTTAGACATTATTTTCAGAATCCGACGAAAAGCACTAGATTTTTTTTTTTACTTTCGTACCCAGAAGTTTTGAATTAACTGTATTATTATTATAATCAAAAAGAAGCGCTAAGCCACAAGGACTATACAGCTGAATTAACTGTAGCATGAAAAAAAAAAAAAAAAAAAAAAAAACTGGGAGCCAAGACTATGTTGCCAGGCACTCAATTTGACGGAGAGATACTCTCTGTTACTGGCATATAGAATCCAGTTTTGTGACCGCCAGTCGTTTCAGAAGTGCCTCTCGTGTGGCTGGAATTATTAAGCTGATCTTTTGAGAGAGCGACTGACAGGTTAGTGGAAGGTCCCGGTGTGTAGGCAGTGTTAACATTGGCAGTGAAGGAATACGGGGTAAGAGAGTTTTGAAGAGTTTTGGCATTTTGGTCTGAGAAGCAGCTTAAGTTATCACCGAAAATTAGTCCAACAGCCTTCCTTTCTGATCTGTCTGTTAATCAGTAGAAAATATTTAGGTAGTAAGTGTAGACATGATAGTTATAAATAATATAAACTTTGTTCTAAAAGTTGATCACAATACTCTTAATAAGCGTTAATATGCAAGAATAAAAGTTATAAAGTAAAGGTTTATGAAAGACGTCAAGTGAATTAAAATAATTGAAGAATAAAATTTATTAGAAATATAATTTTCAGAATTTTTAAAGAACACTGGACTTTTTACCTTTCGTGTCGGGAGGTTTGGTAGTAGTTGCGGCTCGAAGCGTTTCACCGTCAACTCTTTCGGGTATAAATCTCTCGCATAATGAAGCATCAGACCCCACCGAATTTCCTCGTTTCAGTGAAGTGCCTGTCATTTGTCCATAGCAGCTGGGAAGCTGATGTTTTGACAGAGCAGCTGACTGGTGGCCAGACTGTTCGGAGGTGACACCCAGGTTGGCAGTGGATTTTAAGGAAGATTTGTCAACCGAATGCTGAAGACTGTTGATACTTCTCTTCGGACATCCATTTAAGTCTAGATCATCACGGTACGTTGGCTTAGCGACTAAAAAATAAAAACTAACCTAGGTGAGTACAAATAGGAAATCTGCATCACGTTCAGCGAATGGAGAATCAAGACTCCAACACGTCTTACACTGAATAAACCATGTGGGTTTAGCGCTTAACATGTATTACATATTATTGTTCATATACATTGCTCCAGTACCAGTGAATATGTAAACATCCAGCTGTACCAACTGTACCAATCATGCTCAGTGAGAATCTGATTTTAATCTAATCAGTCTATCTACAGTATACTTCCAATTCATTAAAACCCTTATGAGCATCAAAAGTTGACTTAGTATTTTAGAGCCTGTTTAATATTATTATAATAAAGAAGAGCTAAGCCACAAGGGCTATACAGCGCTGCAGGGTAGGGAAGGAAGCGAGGGTATTGGGCGGCAGAAGGGAGGAGGGATGATCAGTAGGTTACAGAAAACAGCGGGGCAGGGGATAGTACGGGGGTAGAGGGTAGCAAGAGATTGAGGTAGAAAGGGCTGAAGGTATCAGAATTTGTGAAGTCAGTCAGTTGTTGTCAAAAAGTCAATCAGAGAGTCCGGATGAAAGGTGGGTCCATCAGCGAGAAGGGAAGGTAAAGAGAGAGCAGCGGAGCAAAGACGACGACGGAGGTAAATTCTGCGTGCTCGTTGATAAAGTGAGCAGTCCAACAGAATGTTGCTGACTGATAATGGAGCCTGGTAATTCTCACAGAGAGGAGCAGGGCGCCTCTCCATGAGATATCCATGAGTAAGACGAGTATGGCCAATGCGAAGACGGGAGAGAGTAGTCTCCCAACCTCGACACTGGTGATAAGAAGACGGCCAGTAACCTATACTCGGTTTAATGGATTGAAGTTTGTTACCGAGCATAGTAGACCAACGTTGTTGCCAACGGGTGTGAAGGTGGGAAGATATTGCAGCAAAATAGTCCGTAAATAGAATACCTCTATATGAAACTGGTAGGTCATGTACTGCTGACCGCGCAGCAGTGTCTGCCTGTTCATTGCCCTGTACGTCAACATGACCAGGGACCCAACAAAAAACAATATCTTTATGCTTGGTAAAGATGCGGCGTAGCCAAAGTTGGATACGGAGGACTAAGGGGTGAGGTGTATCAAATTTCTGTATAGCCTGTAAAGCACTAAGGGAGTCTGAGACAACCACAAATGATGACACAGGCATAGATGCAATACGGATAAGTGCTGCAAGGATGGCATGCAATTCAGCAGCAAAAATACTAGCCGAAGATAGTAAATGCCCTCGTACGACGCTGTCCGGAAACACTGCTGCAAATCCTATGCCGTCAGAAGATTTAGAGCCATCTGTGTACACAGCAATGGCATGAGAATGAGAGTGGAAGTGGTCAAGAAAAAGAGAGCGGGAAGCGACTGCAGACAGTTGGGCTTTCGAGCAAGGGAGAGAGAAAGAACAGACTCGAACAGCTGGAACTTCCCAGGGGGGTAGGGAAAAGTGAGATGCTACATGAATATAGAAAGGTGGTAATTGAAGAGAAGACAAGAACGAATGAAGGCGAAGAGAGAAGGGACGGAGTAAACAGGGGCGGCGAACAAATAATGTCTACTAATATCAGTGACCATTCTGTAAATGGAAGGATTGTGGAGATCATGAGAGCGTACATAGTAGCGAAGGCAATGGGCATCACTGCGATTGGATAAGGATGGAACGTTCGCTTCTGCATAGAGGCTTTCAACAGGGGAAGAGCGAAAAGCACTGAGGCATAAACATAATCCTTGGTGATGAATGGGGTTAAGGCTAGAGAGAGTAGCAGGAGATGCCGCTGAATAGATCTGGTCACCATAATCAAGTTTCGATAAAATGAGGGTGGAATGTAGGCGAAGGAGGGTTCGACGATCAGCTCCCCATGAAAGATGATCAAGGGTTTTAAGAAGGATCAGCCGGCTGTGACAAGTTGCCTTCAGAGAGGTAATGTGAGGTTTCCAGGATAACCTACGGTCAAAGAGGAGGCACAGAAACTTGACTGTATCACGTTCAGGGATACGGGAGCCACAGAGGTACAAAGGATGATCAGAGATGACAGAGTCTAGTGAAAGTAATTTGGTGGGTTTTAGTGCTGGAAAATTTAAACCCACGTGTGGTGGCCCAATTGGAAACACAGTCGACCACATGCTGGAGAGAAACTGTAATGAGGTGACAGTCAGCGCCTGCACAGGTAATAGCGAAGTCATCAACAAAGAGTGATGACCAAATATTTGATGGAAGACTAGAGGCCAAATCATTAATAGCAAGGAGAAAAAGTTTTGTGTTCAGAACACATCCCTGGGGGACACCTTCAGCTTGGATAAAGCCCGGGGAGAGCACATTATTAACCCGAACACGGAAATGCCTATCAGTTAAAAAGTTCTTTAGGAAGGATGATAGATTGCCTCGGAGGCCTAAGGAGTGGGCTTGGGCCAAAATATTATACCTCCAAGTTGTGTCATATGCCTTCTCAAGGTCAAAAAATATGGCAATAACCAAGTGGTTATTTGCAAAGGCATTACGAACATACGTATCCAAGCGTAGTAAGGGGTCTATGGTAGAACGTCCTTTACGAAAGCCATATTGATGAGTGGAGAGACTGTTGTGTGTCTCTAAATACCACACTAAACGTCTATTTACCAGGCGTTCCATCACTTTGCAAAATGCACTGGTAAGAGCAATGGGACGATAGTGGGAGGCTTCATGTCCCGTAGTGCCTGTTTTGCAGAAAGGGAGAACAATGGCAGATTTCCACAGCTGTGGAAGAACTCCTTGTGACCAAATAAGATTGAAAAGACGTAATAGGACTGCAAGGGCTAACTGATGTAAATGTTGTAGCATACGAATATGAATGTCGTCGGGCCCAGCTGCTGATGATCGGCAAGCTGAGTGTGTTGCCTCCAGTTCTTGAAGTGTAAAAGGCACATTATACTGTTCTTCTCCGAGAGAAGAAAAGTCCAAGGGTGCTAACTCTCTGGCAGACTTTGAGGAAAGAAACGAGGGGCATAGATGGAGCCCCTGAGAAATACGGACTAGATGATTGCCAATTTCATTGGCAACATCTAGTGGGTTTGCTATATCAACACCGGCAACCCGCAGAACAGGAGCCGGGTCAGGAGAATATTTACCACTCAGTTTTCGTACTTTTTTCCAGACTGCACTCATAGAGGAAGCAGAGGTGATGGTGGAGACAATCTCGCCAGCAAGTGCGTTTAGCATTGTGGATGACACGGCGAGAGATCACAGTGTTTCAAACGTACTGCACGAGCACAGGCAGTAGACCACCAAGGCACTCATTTCTGAGAATGCCTGCCCGAAGTTTGGGGTATAGAATGAGAAGCTGCGGTTAAAACGGAGGACGAGAAGAGATGTAAAAGCTCATCAATGGAGGACAAAGAAGGAACCTCACTAAAAACAGTTAGTTGTGAGTAAAGGTTTCAATTTGCCCGATCAAATTGCCAGCGTGGGATACGAAGAGGTGGTGAATATGAAGGGGAAGTAAGAATGATTGGGAAATGATCGCTGTCATGTAAATCCTGGAGAACAGACCAGGTGAAGTCTAATGCGGTGGAGGAAGAGCAGACTGAGAGATCGATGCAAGAGTGTGTGTGAGTCCGATGATCAAAATGGGTTTGAGTACCTGTATTTAAAACATGGAGGGGGTGGGTGGCAAGAAAAGCTTCTAACTGAATGCCACGGGAATCACAGTGAGACCCCCCTCAGAGGAAATGATGAGCATTAAAATCGCCAAGGAACAGAATCAGTGGTGATAATGATGAAACAAGAAAGGCAATATCCGGAATAGATAATGCCCGAGAAGGAGAGAGATATAAAGAACATAGCGTATACCACCTATGCAAGTGGATACGGGCTGCTGTGTAATGCAGCGAAGTACCAACAAATAGCTGATGGTACGGAATGTCAGTGTGTAGAAGAAGGGCACTTTCATTAAAAATCCCATCAGGAAAAGGATCTGAAGAATACAGTAAATTATAGCCTGAGATGGGAGAGATAACAGCAGAGTGTAATTCTGGTTCCTGTAAGCAAACACCAACAGGGAAAATCTGGGAGAATAACATCTGAAGCTCACCCCGATTACCTGAGGCTGCGTATATTCCACTGTAAATAGGCCATGATTGGAAATGATAACGATACTTGAAATCCGCAGGTAAGGGTTCCTACGGACTAGAGGGGTTAGAAAAGTCCACATGCAGAGGCAGCGGAAAACGTTCAAGCAGCGAAGGAACGGTGCACTTTGAAGGAGTTGCGCAGATGAAGGAGAGGAGAGAGAAGGAACAGAGGGTGGATCAGTGTTCATTGATGGTTTGGTCTCTGCAATATATTCAGAGATTGCTTCAAGTGTTCCGGAATTCATAGACGTCGTATGGGAGACAATATTGGAGATGGTAGGGGGAGGATGAGTAAAGATTGGAACTGTAATAGACTGTAACAAGGTAGGGGAAGGGGCGAAAGGGTGGAGGGAACTGGAGAAGAAGTGTGGAAGGGGACAGAAGAGGCAGAAACCTGGGAGGTGGCAGAAGAGGAAGAAACTTGGGAGGGAACAGGGGAGGCAGGTATAGTACGAGGAGGAGGGTGAACCTCTACACTTGTTACAGAGCCAGTGAGAGGGGAAGAACCAGGTACAGAGACAGGGAAGGTAAAATGAGGAGGTGGAAGAAGGGAAGGAGGGGTTAAAGGGCCTTTTTTTGACTTCTGAGAAGTAGAGGGACAATTGGAAGGAGGTGTCGTACGAGGTCTCGTCGATATTGAGGCTTGTGAGGGAGAACACGAAGAAGCAAGAACAGACTGAGGCGTTGAAGTAGGGACGTCTGAGCCTAGGACAGCAAAAGAATTAGATACAGGAGTGACTATGGGAGAGGTAACCACAGAGGAGGTTGCAGAAGATGGGACCCCAGAAGTCGGGGGACGTTTTGAAACACGGGAATAAGAAACATGAGGTAGTCTCCCTTGGAGGCGGAGATGAGAAACTGCCATGGCATAAGGGAGACCTTCTGCCTCTTTGAGGTAACGGATTTCCCGCTCATTTAAGTAGACTTGGCAATGGCGAGAGTACGAAGGGTGAGCCTCATGACAATTAAGGCAAGAGGGAGGTCGATTGCAAGACGTATTAGAATGGTCATCGGCAGCACAGACTGGGCATTCAGCTATGGATCTGCAATATTTCGCTGGATGGCCAAATCGCCAGCAATGTCTACACTGTTGCGGTGTAGGGATCACCTTTTGAACTTGTAACCGATATCCTGCTACATAAACTGAGGATGGGAGTTCACGGCTGTCAAACGTTAAACGAGCCACATTGCTAGGGTATCATCTCTGCCCGCGGGCAGGAAGAACGTAAGTGTCTACCTTGAGGATTGGGAGATTTTGGAGTTCCAGCTGTTCAAGAATGTCAGTGCCACATGTCTGGAAATTTTGTTGAACTATGGTATGGGGCAGAATGACGGTACCACTACAAGAATTGAGGGAATGATGTTTTTCAATAGTGACAGGAACAGTATCTATATGGGAAAGAAGAGAAAGATCACGAGCTTGGGTAGCATTCTGTACAGTGATGATGCACATACCGCTCTTAAGAGCATGAAAAGAAATATCTTTACCAACATGGCATAGGAGTGCCTTGCCAATACTGTGGTCGGAAAGATAGGCGGTAGAGGAAGTCGGTCGTAAAGAGAAGAATTTATTCCATTGTGCAGTCTGAAACTGAGCGTGGAAAGGGAGTGCAGGACGTGCCGATCTTTTCTGAGAAGAATGAGAAGGTGGAGAAGTATCATCAGCAGGTAATTGTCGTTGGTGTTTAGGCGTGGGACCAGAGTTGGTCCGACGTGGAATGGGCCAGCGATTCGAAAATTGCCGCACCATAGAGGGAGAGGCCGGAAGCATAGTCAAAGGAGAGCAGAGGTCAGATAAATCAAAGGAGTCAGTCGAGACCTCAGTACCTGAAGCAGGTGAGGAAACAGCACCGGCAAGAGATACAGAGGCATGAGGAGTGTCCGAAGAGCAGTCCAAAGACGAGGCGGGGTCAGAACGGGGTGCGGTATCAAGAAGGGGCCCGGGGGTACCAGGTTCATGGATTGGGTTCTCCATGGTTAGGTTACTTCTTTCTTTTTGTTTTTAAGGAAAAAAAAAGAAAGAAAATAAAAATAAAAAAAAAAGAATAAAAAAAGGGGGAACCGGGGAGGGATAGTTCCTAGGAGGAATGAGATCTCCCTCCGCACCCAAGAGGACCTCAGCACCGCAAGTAGCACAGATGCAGCATGGAACCCATGCCATATCCTACCCATCATGCCAGTAAACCAGCAATCCGGGATAGCAACCTCACATCTGCCGAGCTACCTCGGTGGACAAAAGAGAGGGCGGCCGGATATCTGCCACAAAGCATACCTCCTTCGGCCACCACCCCAGGAATCCGAAAGGTGGCTTCCAGAGATACACCTGTCGCTCGAAAGACACCCAAAGCCACTCTCCGGGATACCGGAGAGGGATCGGGACATCCCCAGGCGATCCAGATTCCACGGCAAACTACGCCACCGCCAAGAACCTTAACGGAATGGGATGGACCCCGGTACCCGTTCTCTCACCTAGGAACTAGCGCGCCTGTGGGAAAAAATCCCAAAGGCCAAAAAGAGGAAGGGCAAAAGGGAGGGGTGGGGAGGGGGAGGAGGAAAGGGAAAAGGGGAGGATGGGATAGGGAAGGGGGGATTGGGGGGTAATTAGGTTTGGTCTGAGGAAGGAGACCGACAGGTCTAATTCCTCAGACCAAGAGCCTCTTCACCACGCCAAGGAGCCCCCCTTGAAGAGGCCTGTTTAATAGATATGTGTAGAATAAACTTCATTTGAAACTTTGTTTTATATCGGTAATTTATAAGGATGGAAGTGCCCTTTTTAAATATACATAAGAAAAAGGGACATTCCGAGGAGGAAAGATTGTTGCGAGATACTCTGAATACTTTTCAGATTTATGAGACATTTGTCACATACATCAAAATAATTAATTACCTTGTGTTTTGGAACCGTTTTCTGAACTTGAGCAATTAAGCTTTGCATCATTAGTGGAACTGGAAGAATACTGTACAAAGGAGCCCCGAAGAGTGCTGACACACTTTTCTGTAGAGCTGTTGACTTCATCAACACAAACTAATCCATCAACTTTTCTTTCTAATCTATCTGTTAATCAATGGAAAACGACATTTAGGTAGGAAGTGGGGACGTAATAGTTTTTAGAAATCAATTTTAATAGGTTAATATAAACTTAAAGGTTAAGCATTAATATGCAAGGTAAAGTTTTTAATGTGAATGATTATTAAAGATGCCAATTGAAGAATAATTCAGCTACATTAGAGGTATACATTTTAAAGCATTAGACAAGATTTTTCAGAACCTTTAAAGAGCACTAGACTTTTACCTATCATAATGAAAGGCTTTGCATTCGTAGTATCTTCAAGCGTTTCACCAGAAACTCTCTTTTCTGGTAGAAATGTCTTGTATAACGGCACATTAGACCACCTTGGGTTTCCATCTCTCACTGAAGTGCCGGTCATTTGTCTATAGCAACTTGGGCGCTGATGTTTTGCCAGAGCAGCTTGCTGGTGCCTAGACTGTTCCGAGATGACATCCAAGTTGGCAGTGGATTTGAAGGAAGATCTGTCGGCTAGATTTTTAAGACTTCTGATACTTTCCTCCGGGGATACATTTAAATCTTTTTTATGACGGTAAGCTGATTTATCGACTAAAATTGAAAAAAAGGGTTAAGACGTATTGACGCTTTATTTCCCCAAAATATTATTCAAGTATCGTTTGATATGTGAACAAAACAGGAAAGTATTACTCTACTGCACTTATGACACCATTTATTTTGTTAGTTGGGACAGTGACATGTAATGTATGAAGCCTGAATACAAGAATTAATCTAATTCTAGTCCTCTCAACCCATCTTCGGAAGGCTTGGCATATTATATTCTTATGACAAGCAACTTTGAAATTACTCTAAATCAACTTCCAAGATAATACATACTGTACCACACATTCAGGAGGAGCCGCCATGTTTTACTGGCGTCAATGTTTTTGAAAACTTAATTCGATCTAGACATTTGTTTGATTAATGTCAAGTATTTAAGAGTAGGAGAAACGAAAAATGGATTAAACTGATCAAGTAAATTTTAGTGGGATATATCCAGGAGGAAACACTGCAAAGAAACATGTTGAGTAATTTTCAATTTAACAAGATATTTGTCATTTATATGAAATTAATTACCTTGTGTTTTAGGAAGTTTAGCTAAACAGCGAGGCTCTTTATCACTACGACTTGAGGATGTGTATGAAGCCTTTATGTTGCCAGGTATTCCATTAGTTGACTGAGAGATCTTCTCAGATACTGGCAAATCAAATCCCATTTTGTGGCTTCCAGTCGTCGCTGATGTACCAGTGGTGTGGCTGGAGTAACTGAGCAGCTGAATGTTTGGGTGAACAGCTGATGGGTGATGAGGTGGTCCTGGAGTGTCTGCATTAATAGTGGCACTGGAAGAAGACTGGTGGCGAGAATACTGGAAACTGTCCACACTTTTATGTGGAAATCCGTTGACGTCATCAGATAATAATGATCGGCCAAACTTACCTTTTGTACAGTGTTAATCATTAGGAAGAATTTAAGTAGAAAGTGCAGACGTAGCAAAAAAAAAAAATGAACATAATATACATAAGGCTATATGTACACTTTATAGGCAAAGGTCGAAAATTCTAAAATGAATGTCAATAATCAAACTAATATCAATAAATAAAAAGCTCCTAATTGTAAGGCAAAGTTTAGTCACTATTACTTTCCTGTAGAATACTTGTATTTAATAGTATTACCCATATTATTTCAGGAATTTGCAAAGAACCCAACACATTTACCTTCCCTAGATGAGACTGAACACTTGTCGCCAGACTCTCTACTTCCTGGTACAAAGGTCTTGTATAAAGGCACATCATATCCTAGCGGTTTTCCTCTTGTTAAAGAAGTGCTAGTCACTTGTCGATAGCGACTATGTTTCTTGTGTTTTGATCGGTACCTGCATGATTCTGAAGTGACAGCTGTGTTCCCAGTGACTTTGAAAAACGTGTGGTTAGATGAATATTGCAGACTGTTGACATTTTCCCTCGAGGAGCCTTTAAGAGGTTTAGTATAACTGAAGACTGATCCGACGGCGCCGGCTAAGTTGAGAAAAAACATTAGAAAACCTGTTTTGGTTGATAAGAGAGTAGCTGGGAGGAAAAAAATGGTTTAGCTGCACAGTGGATACCTGAAATTTACGAGGCCAGACTCTAAATACATTTAATTGCGGTTGCTTGTCAAATAAAAAGACAGTTGCTTCTTTCAGTAAGTAATTCTGATTTGTGGGAATTATTATCTAACTTGATTAAATCCATTTTAAATATTTGTGATTATATCAATATACTAACTGGGCAATATGCTTTGAAACTAGAAAAGTACTTGCGTAAATAATGAGTATTACGAAACACTATCCGAGTTCAATTACAACAAATACATTACGGAAAACAGTCTCAGCAGTTAAACGCATATTCTAAGTTTCTGTAATTAAGTGATAAGCGCTTATATTGCAGTGCATTACTGGTCTAATATGACAGTCATTAACTCTGTGGAGATTCATCGAAGTCTGAGATGAGGCTTGTTACACCGACAAATAACGACAGTGGAATAGAATTCAGTTTAACCAGGGATCACGAGACAGGCAGTAACGCTATCATATATAGGGCTATAAAACAAATTATTTAGAAAACTGACAAGTTGAAGAATGAGACTTGTGCAACATTTGAGAATCTTCATTACGCAAACGTTTCGCCAGTCAGTGGCTTCCTCAAACGAATACAAAGAAGAACGCTGGACTGAAGAAGCCACTGGGTGGCGAAACGTTTCAGTAATAAAGATTCCTATTCTTCATAAATAAGGTTAGTAAATGTTAAGGACAATTTGTAGCAAGGAATAACACAGGTCTGCCAGTAAGTTTAATACAACACTCAAGACTTTTACTCTGAGCCATCAGTCAAAAACTATGATCATTGAGGCAGGCAGCTCGTCTCGCTTAAGTTATTACAACACAAGAAATAGAGATTAAGTTGATTCACGGGGGGTTAGGCCCACTTACCTGGATCAAAAGCCCCTCACCTGCATCAAATTACCTATCTCGAGGGATTTGGACTTAACCCTAGTATCGACCTAGTGGGAAAGAAAGGGGAGTAGGGGAGAAGTAGAGGAAGAGAGGAAGTAGGAGGGAGGAAGCAGGAGCGAGTAAGGGGGAGGAAGTAAGGGGGAGGAAGTAAGGGGGAGGGAGGAAGTAAGGGGGAGGGAGGAAGTAAGAGGGAGGGAGGAAGTAAGAGGGAGGGAGGAAGTAAGAGGGAGGGAGGAAGTAAGAGGGAGGGAGGAAGTAAGAGGGAGGGAGGAAGTAAGAGGGAGGGAGGAAGTAAGAGGGAGGGAGGAAGTAAGAGGGAGGGAGGAAGTAAGGGGGAGGGAGAAGTAAGGGGAGGGAGGAAGTAAGGGGGAGGAAGTAGGGTGGGAGGAAGAAGGGTGGGAGGAAGAAGGGTGGGAGGAAGAAGGGTGGGAGGAAGAAGGGTGGGAGGAAGAAGGGTGGGAGGAAGTAGGAGGAGGAGGTAGGGGGGAGGAAAGTAGGGAGGAGGAAGTAGGGAGGAGGAAGTAGGGGGAAGGAAGTAGGGGGAGGAGGTAGGGGGAAGAAGTAGGAGGAAGGAAGTAGGAGGGAGGAAGTAGGGGGGAGGAAGTAGGGGGGAGGAAGTAGGGGGGAGGAAGTAGGGGGAGGAAGTAGGGGGAGAAAGGAGGGAGGAAGTAGGAAGGAGGAAGTAGGGGGAGGAAGTAGGGGAGAGGAAGTAGGGGGGAGAAAGTAGGAGGGAGTAGGGGGGAGGAAGTAGGGGGGAGGAAGTAGGGGGGAGGAAGTAGGGGGGAGGAAGTAGAGGGGGAGGAAGTAGAGGGGGAGGAAGTAGAGGGGAGGAAGTAGAGGGGGAGGAAGTAGAGGGGGGAGGAAGTAGAGGGGGAGGAAGTAGAGGGGGAGGAAGTAGAGGGGAGGAAGTAGAGGGGGAGGAAGTAGAGGGGGAGGAAGTAGAGGGGGAGGAAGTAGAGGGGGAGGAAGTAGAGGGGAGAGGAAGTAGGGAGGAGGAAATAGGGAGGAGGAAATAGGGGGGAGGAAGTAGGGGGGGAGGAAGTAGAGGGGGAAGAAGTAGGGGGAAGAAGTAGGGGGAGGAAGTAGGGGAGGAAGTAGTATAAAAAGGATTATTTGTTGTGGTAGCAGGTAGTTAATGATATATCTTCGGAGGCTTCTTACTTTATTGTTAAGTCGTGGTGGGTACACAGGCTTGTGTGTTTGTGCCCATGGCCCGGGCAGGGCCATCCCACGAGAGAGAGCTGGGAGGCCTTGTATCTTGCTGCTAGGCCGCTGTGTGAGTGAGGCAGAGGCAAGGGCAGGCAGGCTGGCATGCCCACTGAGAGGCCTGGCTACAGAGGGCAGCACCTGAGTGGCTCGAAATATGAACTAAGCTGGCAGACAGCATGGGCAGTCTGTGTAGACAGTACAGGCTGTCTACATATGCTCGGCCACCTACCGCGCGTCGTCCCGACGCGACAATACTGGTGGTAAAAGAAACTCTGTCTCTCTCTCTCGTAGGAACAGGGCACAGAACACAAAATAAAAACGTATATATACATATGAACATGGAAAAAAAACTTCCTACAGGGAGGGAAGAAAAAAACATGTGGGGTGTGCTAAACATTGTGGTCATAGGCAGTGAGCGTCGAAGGGCATCACTGCACGCCTTCCTGCATCTGGACAGATACTGCAACACAGTAGACATCGCTGCGGCTGAGCTGTGACGTAACAGGTTACGGTCTCCTCTGGAACGGTGAAGCAGACATCGTAGGAGTCGCTGCAGGTTTCACTCAACCTGGGGCACGACATGCTGGTGCCCTCGAGTGAGGCGTCGACAAAACTCGGCAACTGGGCAGGACTTCTGGCAAGCGACTCAGGAGGACACTTCTCGACTGGTACTGTCGCTGGGCTGTCACTGCCGGTGAGCGTGAAGCGAGTTGTGGAGCGAGTCGTGACAGAGACGACTGGGCGAAACATCTGGGAGTCGTAACATCATACACCAGACTGCAGTGAGAGAGCTAGCAGTCAAAGTGACATCTTCTTTGTGCAGGCTGCTCACTGAAGCTTGTGACACGAGGCTGACACAGCGTGTCATTCTCTCGACAGTTGGAGTTATAGCAGAGGTTAGTCTAAGCATCCCCAGACTTGTTTCTCTACATATAACTGCACTCTGACGGTCTGGAGGTGAAGTGAAACAAATCTCGATGGGATTCGTAGCAGGTACGATTCTGCAGATCACGAGCGACGAGCATAAAAGCTTTCTGTACAAGAGGGCTCGGTCACTCGGGGGCTGACTTGGCATCAGCTGTCATATGCACTGGTCACATCGGGTGACATAGCACAGTGGTGCTACTCAGGTCTGGCTCAGACCTCACTGGACACATGGAAACTTTAAACACACCGCAGTACATGCGGTACACTAACATGTGAGAACACTGACTGAGAGGAATTAACACACGACATATATCTTCTCTTAATCTTCTCGACTATACTGAAATAATTACTAGAAGCACTCGATGTGACATCATGTGATGTCAGGCGTGATGTCGCGAGGTGACGTCAGCAGCACTGTGACATCAGCAGACATCTCGAGGTGACATCAGGCAGATATCGTGACGTCATGAAGTCGGGGAGCATCGTCGGTGACGTCAATGTGATGCAGGCAGCAGACCACAGCATGTGGCCTGGGACATCTGGTAACTCACGTGGCTTGTAGATACACGTGACATCGCCCACACCCAACGTGGCATCGTGATCCACGTGGCATCGTGATCTATGTGGCATGCTGATCCACGTAGCTTCTAGTGGCCTCGGGCACTCGGATACACAGCTCTGGCAATGAATTCACATGGAAAACAGCAGAAAACACAGCAGAGGGAGTGGGCAGTGGCGAGTGTGTGGTAGACGGGTGAGCGTGAGTAGGGCGAGCATGGGCAAGGTGAGGAACGGCCACTTCCTCTCCTCCTCCACACTCACAAACACGTGGAGAAGCTCACACTGGACGCAGAAATCACCACAAAACTCACCTCTGGCTTGCTGAAACAGCTGTGCTGAGCTGAACAACAACAGCAGCAACATACAAATGACACTGAACACGTGACTTGAGAAACAGCGTGGGATACTGTAGCGTGGGATGCTGTAGCATGGGGTCACTTACAATTCTCGGAGAATTTCGGCAAATTTCGGCTGGATCCTGCTTGTACCTATGTATGGATGCTCAAACGTGCAGACACGACATCAAGATAACTTGTTGAGAGACGGATGCTTCTTGTGTAGGGTGATGAAGTGAAGATGACTTCATACCTCTACCTTCCTCTCTCTGGGCAAACACACTGCTGCGACCACCACTGCTACCAATGTTTAATAGGTTTGTTTGGTAGGTGCTGCAAGCGGGTGGCTAAATGATATGTCTTCGGAGGCTTCTTACTTTATTGTTAAGTGTCGAGGTGGGTACACAGGCTTGTGTTGTGCCCATGGCCTGGGAAGGGCCATCCCACGAGAGAGAGCTAGGAGTTCCCGTGTCTTCCTGCTAGGCCGCTGTGTGAGTGAGAGCGAGGCAAGGCCCGGCATGCTGAAGTGGCCACCGAGAGGCCTGGCTACAGAGGGCAGCACCTGAGTGGTGCAAAATATGAACTAAGCTGGCAGACAGCATGGGCTGTCTGTGTAGACAGTACAGGCTGTCTACAGCAGGGGGGAGGAAGCAGGGGAGAGGAAGTAGGGGAGAGGTAGTAGGGGGAGGAAGTAGGGGGGAGGATGTAGGGGGAGGATGTAGGGGGAGGATGTAGGGGGGGAGGATGTAGGGGGGAGGAAGTAGGGGGGAGGAAGTAGAGGGGGAGGAAGTAGAGGGGAGGAAGTAGAGGGGAGGAAGTAGGGGGAGGAAGTAGGTGGAAGTAGGAGGAAGTAGGAAGAGGAAGAAGGAAGAGGATGTAGGGGGAGGACGTAGGAGGGGAGGAAGTAGGAGGGGAGGAAGTAGGAGGGGAGGAAGTAGGGGAGAAAGTAAGGGGGAGGATGTAAGGGGGAGGATGTAGGGGGAAGGATGTAGGGGGAGGATGTAGGGGAGGAAGTAAGGGGGAGGAAGTAGGGAGGAGGAAGTAAGGGGGGGAAGTAAGGGGGAGGAAGTAAGGGAGAGGAAGTAAGGGGGAGGAAGTAAGGGGGGAAGTAGGGGGAGGAAGTAGGGGGGAGGAAGTAGGGGGGGGAAGTAGGGGAGGAAGAGGGGGAGGAAAGTAGGGGGAGGGAGTAGGGGGAGGAAGTAGGGGGGAGGAAGTAGGAGGGGGAGGAGTAGGGGGAGGAAGTAGGGGGAAGGATGTAGGGGGAGGATGTAGGGGGAGGATGTAGGGGGAGGATGTAGGGAGGAGGATGTAGGGGAGGAAGTAAGGGGGAGGAAGTAGGGGAGGAAGTAAGGGGGAGGAAGTAAGGGGGAGGAAGTAGGGGGAGGAGTAGGGGGAGGAAGTAGGGGGAGGAAGTAAGGGGGAGGAAGTAGGGGGAGGAAGTAGGGGGAGGAAGTAGGGGGGAGGAAGTAAGGGGGAGGAAGTAGGGGAGAGGAAGTAGGGGGAGGAAGTAGGGGAAGTAGGGAGGAGTAGGGGGAGGAAGTAGGGGGAGGAAGTAGGGGGAGGGATGTAGGGGAGGAAGTAGGGGAGAAGTAGGAGAGGAGTAGGGGAGAAGTAGGGGGAGGAGTAGGGGGAGGAAGTAGGGGGAGAGTAGGGGAGGAGTAGGGAGGAAGTAGGGAGAAGTAGGGAGGAAGAAGGGGAGGAAGTAAGGGGGGAGGAAGTAGGGGGAGGAAGTAGGGGGAGGAAGTAGGGGGGAGGAAGTAGGGGGGAGGAAGTAGGGGAGAGAAGTAGGGGGAGGAAGATAGGGGAGGAAGTAGGGTGGAGAAGTAGGGAGAGGAAGTAGGGGAGAGGAAGTAGGGAAGGAAGGAGAGAGGAGTAGGGGAGGATAGGGGGAGGATAGGGGGAGGATGTAGGGGGAGGAAGTAGGGGGAGGAAGTAGGGGAGAGTAGGGAGGAAGTAGGGGGAGGAAGTAGGGGAGGAGATGTAGGGAGGAGGGGGAGGAGTAGGGGAGGAAGTAGGGGAGAGGAAGTAGGGGGAGGATGTAGGGGGAGAAGTAGGGAGGAAGTAAGGGGAGGAAGTAGGGGGAGGAAGTAGGGGGGAGGAGTAGGGAGGAGTAGGGGAGAGTAGGGAGGAGTAGGGGGAGGTAGTAGGGGGAGGAAGTAGGGGGAGGAAGGGGGAGGAAAGTAGGAGTAGGGGGAAGTAAGGGGAGGAAGGGGAGGAGTAGGGGGGAGGAAGTAGGGGGAAGTGGGGGAGGAAGTAGCGGGGAGGAAGTAGGGGGGAGGAAGTAGGGGGGAGGAAGTAGGGGGGAGGAAGTAGGGGGGAGAGAAGTAGGGGGAAGGAAGTAGGGGGGGGGGAGGAAGTAGGGGGGGGAGGAAGTAGGGGGGGGAGGAAGTAGGGGGGGAGGAAGTAGGGGGGGGGGGGAGGAAGTAGGGGGGAGGAGAGTAAGGGGGAGGAAGTAGGGGGGGAGGAAGTAGGGGGGAGGAAGTAGGGGGGGAGGAAGTAGGGGAAGAAGTACGGGGGAGGAAGTAGGGGGGAGGAAGTGGGGGGAGTTGGAGAGGAGAGAAGGGAGGATGGGAAGGGGGGAAGCAAATGAAAAGGCAGATGGGATGAAGAAGAGTAAGGCGGTAGAAACGAGGATACAACCCAGACCTGAAGATGTAATTATGTGTAATAGCGCGCGCGCGCACACGCACACACACAAAAGTTATGGGCCACTATTGATATGCTTCTGACGACGCCCGAGAGTGCGAAAGATTTAGAGCTAAAGATTTCCATCCCCCATGTTGCTTGTTCTGCATAACCAGTAAGTGAAAACAATAGAGGTTCGATCCTCCTCCCGAGCAGTGAAGTCCTTTACCACGTCAGCTCTCATGATCAAGGTAACAGTTCACCGTCACATAATTGTAAATAACTATTCAGTTCCTAATAATAGGCAAAGTTAAATCAGTGCAAAAGACTGAAACGAAACAAAATCATAAGAAATCAGAATATACAAACCAAAACAAACATCAGAAACAATAAATGAAATATAAACTGTCAGGTCCAAACAAACAAATTATACAAAATAAATCCACAAACACATACATACACACATACAATGTTACCAATGCCCTTCAGAAATAGGAAATGAGAAGGGGAGGGGGGTGAGATGTTGACATTTTTATTTACAGTAATTTTTTTTTGTTCCACACACCTACATTTGCAAATTCATACATATACATACATAAACAGAGGTTACTTCACAATAACATTTATGAATTATGATCTCCAGATTATTTACAAGGGTTTTTATTTGACTAGACTATGTCAAATGATCACCTCTGGTAGGCTCAGTTACACATCGTGTACACTACAATATTTATTAATTAGGAAGCCACAATCACATTTGAACTGATTATACTTAAAAAAAGTATTTTTCTGAACTCGTTTTTACATATTACTTAGATCAATATTAGATTCGCTTTAGAAACGCTAATCTCTTAAGAGTTTGCAGCGTCTTTAAAGAACATTATTATAATTATTGTAATCATGGGGGAGCGCTACACCCGTAGGATTATACAGCACATGTGGGGGGGGGATGGAAGATATTCAGGCTCAATTCAGGGAACCGGAGCACAGATCCAATTCCCTAGATCAAGAGCCCCTCACCAGCGTCATGGAACCTCCCTTGAAGGGACTTTAAAGAACAAAAAAGCACACTAGCGTACCTGGAACAATACACAAATAACCCGCACATAGGAGAGAAAAGCTTAAGATGACGTTCGGTCCCATTTGGACCATTTACAAAGTTACACTCGCCTATATATACTGGATCCCTCACTCTTTTGTATTAGTATGACTTTGTAAATGGTCCAAGTCGTAACGTAATGTTGTAAGCTTCTCTCTATGAGAGGGTTATTTGTTAATATAACATCTTACCCGTTTGAGGTGCAACATAGGGTGTATGGCGCTCGTTAAAGGCAACGGACATGTTAACAGCAGGTTGTCTCTCTAATGTTTACCCTAGTGTGAGGTTTGGTAACCACCCACCTTTCACTAACACAGACTCGACGGTACTGGCAGCTGCACCTGTCAGCTGGGGCTACATTGTCCACAGTTTTATATACAGATTTTGTCATAGAAATTCACCTCACATACAATATATATACGCTTAGTAGTGTATGTATAAGCCACAGAGTTTGCTTTGATATTCATTTTAAAGAATAAAGTGTTCTCGATATTAGGGTAAAGTGAATTTCAGCCATAATGATCCTAGTGCAATCAATAAGCTTTAACCTTTAGCATCATAACTTCACTTGTAATGCGAGATATCTTTAATTTTCTCTACATTTACTTTATAAATGAACTTAATTTACAATTACTAAGAAATACGTTGGATACATACATTGTTTATCGACGAATTGTAGTCTGGCAAACAAGTGGCTCCAACTTAAGATGGTCAAGTAGTTGTTTGTCCTACTAGCGTTGAAATTACTTTTATTTTTTTAAGGCGATGCGCTAAACCAGAGAGGTCATACAACACTTCGGAAGGATGGATGGATGAGGGGGGGGGGGTCGCTGCAGTTCCTTGGAGGAAAAGTGCCTTTATCCCTGAATGAGGCTCTTGGTCCGAGGAACAGAACTTTTTCTTCCTTTCATTGGATCGAACCTGAATGTCTTCCATTCTACAACCACTGTGTGACCACTACAGAAAAGTCTGCAGGAAATATTAATGATATTAACCAGCGCCTGGGGGAACAGGTGACAATCAGGTTTAATCCAACCAAGGAAAGGACAGGTTCAATTCCTTAGATCAAGAACCCATCCCCCTTTACCGGCATCAAGGAACCTCCTCTTGAGACTTATGATCAGTATCCAGCTACATGTTTCCATACATTCACCAGGATGAAGCCTTTCTACGAGGGTACCTTGCCGCTAATGAAGGGCTCTTGTTCCGTGGAATTGCGGTTACAGTTTCCTGTATGACCAATACGGTTTCAGCGCGTCTCGTGAACATATTGCTATCAAGATGTAAATCTCTAATTCAGATTCAAGAACCAGCGAGGACAGTGACCACACATAGCCAAATTTTCTCTTTTACTCTTTGAAATACACATATTTAAAATAAAAATGAGCAATAAAAATAAATTTGCATCTATCGAAAATTTAATACTTTTCTAAACCTAAATGACTAAATGATACATACTTCAGTTGAGATTAATGGGAGACATTATTCCAGCCTATCTTCACAGCGCGACGCATTAAGAGATATTTTTACATCCTAACCTTCACAGGGCGATGCACCATCCTAATCAAAACAATAAAAAACATTTAAAATATCACGTAGAATTCGCAATAAAATTGTCTCCTATTTTATCATTGTTAGTTGCAAGACAGGCGGGGATTCGATTAAACAATTGCTATCTTGACTCACGAAATTGTAATGATACGATTGCACGGGCGGGGGATACAACCCGCGATCAGAGAGTCATAAAACTCCAGATCGACGCCCTAGCCACTGGGCCAGTTGACTGAATCTTATTGTAGCTAGCTGGCCCAGTGGGTAGGGCGTCGATCTGGAGTTTGATGACTGATCGCGGGTTCTATCCTCGCCCGTGGTATGGTTTAATTGCTGACTTACAACGTGATGTACAGCGAGATTACCCACCTTGTCATCGTGTTGTCCACACCTGTCTCTGAATGTGCATATTATTATCTATTTAGCAATTTACTGTATTTCCATATGTGATAAACAACATCGGAAATGATTCACGAGGACTATTAGTGGAAGGATAGCCGCTAATTTGCAGTGTTCAGAGTGACGCTTTCGCGCCGACCTGTGTTAGTTTACGCACGGTCTCGCGCCTTCTTACGAGGACCACGCATTCGTGAGAGCACGCACGAATGCTGGGATGTTCCCTGTGAGTTCCATGTTAGTTTACGCATGGTTACGCACAGGAACGTTTGTGACTAAGTGTTTTTCTTTCAAGACATTTCTGCAGCGAGTGTGGCGTGTTCTGTGTTAGTTTACGCACAGCCACGCCAGTAATATGTGTGCTACCCGTGCCTCGCTAATTCGTGTGCATTCGTGGGCGTTCGTGCGTGCACCTACGCCACACCATCGTTCGTTTTGGCGATAGTGCGACAAATAACACCCCAAGTCCGCATATTGTGTTAGTTTACGCACAATTGCGAATCTGTCGTGTATCTCGTGCATTCGTGTGATTTGTGCGTGTGCTGTGGCGTGGCGCTGACCAGCCAGTGTACTTCGTGCACTGGTCCAGCTCGCCAGGCGCCTGTGCTGTGTTAGTTTACGCACAGCACCTGACGGCCCTTGCCATTCGTGCATTTGTGGGTGATATGCATGTGCTCAGTGCTTTGGGAAAACATCCGCTTGTGACCTACGTGTGTACCGTACGATTCCAGTGAGTGACGTAATCATGGCTTGTGCACCACTGTGAACCCAGTGTGGGCTGTCAATAGGTCTTGGGAACTGTGGCACACAGCTACGAGCCTCGTTGGGGCGGCTGTACTGCCATGTCATCCCAGGAACCAAGAGGCAAACGGCCCATGTCATCATGCGACGACGACTTTCACGGCGACATGGAGGAAGTGGAAGGGCCGGCGAAGAAACCCAAGGACAACCTGCACTTCGGGGGCGATGCCCCAGAAGCTCCTCAGATGACGCCAGCTGCTTCCCCAGATGGCCCAGGGACGATGGGGACAGCCTAGGCCAACCCAAGCCCGGCCCAGCAGGTGGACACCCCCCAACATATGGGGACCATGGAAGAGACCCAGGACCCTCCTCCTCAGCAGATGGCACCAGGGACAACCAACCCAGACGAAGCCCCACAGGCAACAGAGGAGAACGAGATGGTACAAGGGCGCTCAAGACCTCAGAACCGTGCTGCAAGGCAACCAAGTGTGGTCTTCAACAAGTTCATGATCCCTCACTACGATGTGGTGAAGAACCTGGAGGCGACCATGCCTTCCATCAAGCTCAGCTGCGACTTCACGCTCAGGGGAGAGATAGTGGCGAAGCCGCGCGACGAGGACACATACGATCGACTGAAGTCAATGGCTGCAGAGAATCCGAGGATAAGGGAGCTCCTAGCTCAAGAAAAGATGCACAAGGGGGTTGTGCTTCACGTCCCTGTACCCATCCCAGCAGAGCACTTCCTCGATGTACCCAACATTGTCAAGGCAGAGAGGCTGACCACCGGGACCAACAAGATCTCAAAATGGAATATGTTGATCCACCACCGAGGGCCCCTACCATCCCACATTGCACTGGGGGTGTGGGGGTGGTTCAAGACCCGGCCATATGTAGAGGGCCCGCTACAATGTTACAACTGCCAGGGCTTCAACCATATCGCGGCTACCTGCCAACATGTGAAGAAGTGTGGAGTCTGCAGCAAGCAGCATGACTCCAAGGATTGCATTGCATTGCTCAAGCATTCTGCCCCCGAGACCCCACGCCCCGAACCCAAGTGTGCCAACTGCAGCAAGAAACACCACGCATGGAACCAGGGCTGCCCTGTTATGGTACAGCGGTGGCAACAGGTGCGACAGTGGATGGCCCCTGCAGCGACGACGACCCAGCCCAGCTCAGTAAATGCCCAACAGCAACAGGCGGGGACATCGTCCAATGCCCATGGGGCCCGAATATGGCCTCTCCACGCCCCAACCCATGGAACTATCAGCACCGGCCGCTGGCGGTAGCCAGCACAGCTCCCTCGACGGCGGCCACACCCTACAGCAGAGAGTTCCCAGCACTGGGGGATCACCAGAGAAGACAGGTTGCACCGCCAACATTGAGGCAAGGGGAACAACGGTAAGGGCAAGTCTCGAAGCCTCAGCAAAAGCAGAACAAAGGAACACAACAAGCCCGGCTCAGGGACGCTGCTCAAGGAGCTGCGGCTACACAGCACCAGACAGGACACCAGCAAGGGCCTTCCCGACAGAGGCAGTCCCCACCCGAATGCAGCGGGAAGCAGGCCACGGCACCCAGTCAGATGGCACAGAGAGCCACGGAGACTTGCGTGACCTGCGGGACAGCAGCGGCAACGATCGCAGGAGTGGGCCAACAACCACAGGCCACAGCCAAGGAAACCTTGTCCCCCCAGAGGGAGGGCACCTCGCCAGCTCACATTGTCACCGTAATCAAGCTTGTGGTAGAGGTGCTGTCCATGCTAATCCCATCAATGAAGGACAGGCATGTCTGCAAGGATCTCCTGACTACCGTGTACAGCATGGCTCTCCTGGAGAGGGCCGACGCAGCATCCCTTCAGGCCCACCTCACCCAGGTCTTCACGCCCGAGGAATTGGTAGAACATGCATGGATATTCCGGAGAAACATGGACCAACAGGAGGAGATGGAGTCCGACGGGTCACCCGACAGTCCCTAAAAATCCTCCAGTGGAACATCTGTGGTCTGAGGCAGAAACTCCACCTAGCTATCCAGGCGGCAGTCCAGGATGAGATAGATGTGTTTCTGTTCCAAGAAACCCTTGCCAAACCCCCACCCGCCCCACAGCCACGCATCCCTGGGTTCTCTGCATTCCTGCAGCGTGGTGGGCCCCCCGCCAGGGGCACCGCAATCTATGTGCAGAATTCCATTCCACACTCAATCGTCACTGACCCTGTCAACTGCGGTGAAGGGGTGGAGGTGCAAGCCGCCACGCTACGACTACCATCTGGACGACTGACTATTTACAATGTGTACTGGAGCACACGGTTTACCCTCGACCTCTTGGAGGTTGCAGCCCTGTCCATATCCCGCCTCGAGGGCGTGCTCGTGGCGGGGGACATCAACGCCCATCATGAGCTTCTCCGCTCTGTCTCCCATACCAATGAGACGGGCAGGCATTTGGCGGCGGTGCTCGAGGATGTTCCCGAGATCGTCCTCCTCAACAATGGGGAGCCGACACACCACGGCGGCAACGGACTGGAAGTCACTCTCCTCTCTCGGAGACTGCAGCCTGGGGTGAGGTGGGAGCTCCACCCACTTCTCACGAGCGACCACTTTGCGATCGTCACCATGCTGGCACTCACTCAGCACACCCCATACACACCGCC